TGGGCGAAACCTATAGTTCCATATTCCTATAAGGAACATGTACAAAAATAGAGTCGGAAGGATCAACTCTGGATACCAAATCAGAATTAGAAACAGAATATGAACTAGAACAGATGTGACGGGTTTCTTCCAATTGCAAACATCGCCAAACCATCGACCAACAGAAATCATAGCAGAGAGAAGTGACATGATCCGAAAGAAATTAGCTTTGCTTCTTCTCATGCTCCACATGTGAGAATCCACGTCTAACAGATATTCCACCACCTCTTTTCTCAAAGGTGGCTCAGCTCGACCAAGCCACATTGCAACAATATTCATGGCTTGGTATCTCAAATTGTCGACCTGATTAACTGTGAATGGATGTAAATAATGCATTTTAGGTAGCAAGGGGTGCCCATAAATGTATATCATGTTAGCAAGTGACAGAGTAGTAAACCGAACTGCTAGTTGGAGCTCGCCCATTTTCTTCACTCCACGTGGGTGTAAGACGAGAAGTGGATAAGAATGTGTATAAATCCGATGAGCTTCTAGAGTTGATAGCCGAATCCGTACCTTTCCAATTCGTGAATCTCGTGCCGCTGCATTGCTCCCTGTTGGTTTCTCACCACCGCCCAAGTGGCTGTTGTCAAAAACTCCCAATGTTATCACCGTGCAAGGATCGTAAACTTCCCATGTATATTGCTCGTTCCATTTGGGATTGAACGTGTCAAGAATGGTTCTGGTGCGAACCCACTTTTGACCATACCTAGCCACGCAATAGGCATCTGTACTCCCTCGGCCATCCTTCATTTTCATCGGGAGGAGCCCTCGTGCACCCAAAATGCCCACTTCTAGTACACCAACTGGTTGTTTCCAAAGCTGCCTTGCTGTTGGTCGTTGGTCACTGATGTACATTGTTGACTCATCAAGCACATGATATCCTCCTTCAAGACAAACTCTCAGGTGAATCCTACTTGAAAACTTTAGCTCTTTCCTTCTATCAGCTTCCAGTGCACCAAAACCGTATTTCTCAAGATTGAACCAGCGAGAATGCACTGAACGGTGGTCTAGCCGCTTTTCAAATGCGCTGAGTGGTAGGTTTATCTCCCCTAACACATCCTCCTTTGAAGCGTGTACTCGATCCTCAACAGTGATCAAAAGCTGTTCCTCAAAAGGCTCGGCCGTTACAAAAACTAAATCTTCATTCCAGAATGGGTTGGCTGTGCGATTGGTGCATATCTTGGTTCGGAGCATTTGGTTTCCTATCTGGGCTTTTACAAAAGCTTCTGGGAGGCGACTTCCATCATTGGGCAGCACATCTTGTGCTTCAATCACATTCACCCTTAGGTACCACAGTTTTGGTGACACATAAACCTTTGATCGAATGTTAAAAACACCCTTTCCATAGACTGAGGCAGCATCTGAGTGCCATGCATCTGGAAATGCTTCATCAGCTTGTGTTCCCATCCAAATTGCAAGCATCACCTCTCCCCTTATCTTTCCTTCTCCTCGCCTGTCCTCTAGTCTGTGCCATTGAGGAGCCAATGGGCTGTCCGGCGGAACTCTAGTTGGAATCTCATTCAAATCGAAAACTACCCTTCCAAGATAATCATCTCTGCCCACCATTTCTTTATCCTTCAAAAAAACTTCTAGTAAAGAGGATTGAACACGGTCCTTAGAGAAAGAAAACACTTGGTTCCATTCAGGGTTCATTTTCCTCTCAAAATGCTTTGTTCTTCCCTTGTAGTTCCCCAGCTTTACTTCCACATATGGATCGCAGCTTCCAGTTACAGAGCTGGGAGGAAGATCTTTAGCTTTAACAACCCTAACATACAGATAGAACATCTGCTCAACCAGATCGTAAGTGCTTGTGAATCTCTCACCATTTATCCATCCTCTTCCTCCATAAGCACCGACATTGGGCCATCGTTCACCAAGCTGGGGATTGGTGTCCGTCAGATTATAGTCCTCTTGGCCACCGGGCTGGGCTTGTGCAGAAACAGACTGCATAGTAAGTTGCACACTTTGTCCTCGTTTCTTCCCTTGTAAGCTGGCTTGCCGTAGTACTTGGTATTTATGTATGTTCGGAGTTGTCTCCAGACTCTCCACTGTCCCTTCACTGCATTTCTTGATCTCTTCCTTGAGCGCTTTAGAAGGATCACTGCCTCTACAACTGGTTGCTGCAATAGAAGAACTGGACTTCTGAATCAGAAAAACGTGAGAATTAGCTTTGGCAGTGCCAACAGCAACACCTACTTTTTGGTCGCCTGCTAAAATTTTGCAGGTGATGTTATCTGAAACAGGAGTCGAAGTTGGTGGTGATGATGGTAGTGTTTGATTACACAGCCAGGTTTGTTGTGGGAAGTGGGGTGGAGGAAGGGACTTTGTTTCAGATTCTGATGAGGTACAGACTTTCAGGCCAATCTCACCTTTGACAGATGAGAGAAACCACTTTTTTTTCTAGCTGAAACTGTTGACAGACTTCCTCGCCTTTTCTGACAATGCTGGAGCAAGGAATTCTTACCCTACCAGGAAATTTCGACCTGGAATAGGTCTCCTTTCAGTGTACACGGAGACCCAAGTGATTGGTGATTGTAGTCTTTGGTTTCATCAAAATCAAAGAAAAGTATCTGGTTCCAAACATTGTTGAGGTTTTTAGGAATGGTTTTAGTTTTGCTTAGTTGATTATGGAAATCAACTTCCACAAATGGACCAGCTGACCTCTCACCATCTTTGGGTGTAAGATTATGAGCATATATCCGCAACCTCGACAACCAGCTGAATGCTCCTTTTCTCGATTGTTTCCTGCTGCAAGAAGCTAAAGTAGTAGCTCCTCACAAGAAATCTCAAACTCGATTCTGAAGCAAAGAAGTTCTAAGAAAGAAGGAGAAGATAAAAAAAAAAGATGGAATACTTAGATTCTCTTCCACTCGGAGGGCTGGCCCATATCGTCTTATTGAAGAAAGGAATGGTTTGTTGTAGAAGCTGACTTTGGGTTCAGACGCAGTGGAACCCTGTTGATTGCAGGAAAAGAGGGGAGGGAAGCATAAAATCAAAGAAGAGATACTGTGAACCTTGATCATTCGTTTTCTCTCTGCAATTGATATTTGTGAATGCTTCTTGTTGAATTCATATAGTTTTTACCACTCGGTGATAGAAAATGTTATCTAGTCTTCACTACTACGCATATATTAGTTGTTCTGTAAGCGCTGAAACCGATATTATTTCCTTATTCTTTTCCCATTTTCCTATCATTGCATTACATAAAGCTTACTACTTAATACTACTTTTATCAGCAAATTAAGAGACAAGTCCAACCCCTAAACAAAGGTTAAATTGTTTCAGATATACTGTGATCCCCATAATTCACATCAAGGGTTGTTCAAACTTTTTTCGCATTAAGTCAAGGTAATTCTGGCAAGTAGAATATTGGGAATGAATTTAGGAGTTTAGTTAGACGACTAGATCTTATATGGCTTATGGGATTCCTTTCTTCCGAGCACAGCAAAGACAGTGCAGGAAAGAGGAAACAAAGGTAGAAACTGAGATGAAGGAGAGAAAAAGCCAAAAGACAGCCTTAATTCCTGCCAGTGCCAGCCATATACCATCTATATATTCTTTTCTTTTACTAGTAAGTAGTAACAAAAATTGGTGAAGTATTGAACTTTGGGATTTGGTTTGGTCAGTCCAGCTCCAGTGTCAAAATGCGTTGACAACTGAATTCCCTCGTTAATTAAGTCAGCCTCACCCTAGCCAATAATGAGTTTCCTCGGACTGCATAATTGAAAGTCATTTGTCTAAGAACATCCTTGAAACAAGGCAACCAGCTGTGCATGCCATGGACAGAAGGCTGGAGAGGTTTTCATGAGTTCATGTTGCACCTGGACTAACCTAGCATTTTCTTTTTCTTTTTTATTTGGAAATAAATGTTAATCATTGATAAAATCTCTTTCTAAATTCTTCATAATTCTAGTAAATTTTAAAAAGATTGTCATTTAGAAATTTTTTAAAAAACCATACGTTCATGATCCTTTAGAATTTCATTATTGGAAAGCTCTCCACATATTTCCAAAATTTATTGAATTTACATGATGCAAATAAAATAAAACAATTATTGATACGAAAAATTAAATTCATAACCTTAACTATTTAACCAAAATTTTTTAAAATGTTTTTCTTGTCCACAATTTAAAATAATTAAACCTGTAGTTATTTTAAAATTTTAAATATGCATGTAAAAATAAATAAATAAATAAATTTTAACCACCAAAATTGGGCAAAACCCAAAAAGAAATCCAAACTAAATAATGGGCTTGAGTTAATTTTTGGCCCAAATCAAAGTAGGTCCCAGGTACAGGTCAATGCCAATCAACATGCGGTTGAAGACGCGCAGTTTAGAATTTTTTCAAGTCCAAAATGTTGTGTTTTGGTCCGAATATTGAAACCAAAATCAGAAGCTTTTCTTCATTTTTGCTTTCAAATTCTCTCTGCAACGCCAAATTCTCTAACTTTTCTCTAAAACCTTCAAAGATACCAATGAAGAACCCTCAAAACCCAAAAATGGATCGTCAAAACCATCCTATGTCGTCACTGGCCTCTAATCGCCATGGTCCTCCGGTCAGCAACATCAAAAAGAAAACCTTTTATCAAAATCCTCTCAACCTCCTCCTTTTTTCCTTTCCCGAGTTAGATTTTTGAAAAATCTCACTAAGTACCATAAAACCCAAGTTTGAAAATCCCTTTGCCCAGAACCCTTTCCGCTGTCGTTCGAATGCCTAAAAACCTAAGTTTTTCTTTTCAGCTTCTGATTTTCTTCGACTCAAAGATTTTCCAAAAATAAAATTTCTTGATTTTATTTTTTATTCTCAAGTTCTCCAACCTTCCAATTTTTTCCAAAAAAGAAATTGAGCTCAATTTCCATCCAGTTTCTATTTTCCAGTTCCTTTTTTTTTTTTTTTCAATTTTCTGGATTTTCTTTTTTTTCTCTTCTGATTTTTTTATCAAAATAATTAAAATCAAAATATAGAATAAAAGAAAATAAAATAAAAAATAACAAAAGAGAAAGCAAATAATAAAAATAAGTTGGATAAGCCAACTCTTATTGCGTTCAAGGTCTAATCAAAAATTGAAAAACCAAATCAGCAATTAACAATTAAGGACTGAAGAGTTTAGACTTCAAACTCGGCTTAATAAAAGTTGACTATGAACAAAAGCCGAATTTAGTTTTGAACTAAATTGAATTGAAGTTGAATTAAGTTCAATAAGGCCAAAAAGGACATTGACCTAATAATTAAATTCGTAATAATTCGATTTTTTTAAAAAAACACTTAAAAAGATGTCGAGGAAACCTAGATTTTCTAGTTGAGTTGAGGCAGCGAAGCCATGGGCTCTTTTACATGAAATATGTGAATTCCCTGACAGCAATTCAACTGATATGTCAAACAAAATTCACGCTGAAACTTGGTGCTGCTTGTGATATTAAAAAAATGCAACACATACCAAAACTTGTTGCGCCTACACCTCAAAGCAACCAAGGAATTGACCTACCTCCCCATTGCTCTTTGAGAACCCAAATTAAACTGATCAACCAACCTCGTGCTAGTTACTTTTTTAGGCCTCAACCAAACAAGATGCTTCTTTCAAAGAATGCGGCCAAAATGGTGAAAGCGCAACAATATTCCCAATAATGAATAGTGTTGGTGATACTAACTCCGCCGTTTTAATTTTATCAGCAAGATCCTTCAGTGCTGCAAAGACCTGTATCATTACAAAAACAACCATAATTAATTGGCACCACCTAAACAATATTTGAAATCCCATGGATGGTAGGTAGAGAGGGAATTTATACTATTTTTATAAAAAAAAAAAAGAAGGTAATTACACAATTTATAACAACATAAATCTCATGGAAAGTAGACTGGGATTTTATTCTATTTTTGATAAAAGAGTGATAATACAAAATTTATACCAATGTAATTATACCACAACATATTTCCAATTTTATATACCAAAGGAAATTAGACTGAGAATTTACTCTATTCCTCTAAAAACGTAAAGATACAATTTTCATACAAATGTAATATCTATTAATCAATAATTTGATAAGCTCCTTTGCCGTCAACAAATATGATATAACATATTCATATAAACTTTTACATTCATTAAGCACATACTTACAATGGGCATTTAAAAGTCCCCTCTGACATGGAGTTTATTTTTGCATTGAATTATCCCCCCTCCCCTCTAATGCTATTATTAAATTGCAATCAGGCATTAATTCATACAATGTGTTTGACATTGCAAATGCTACATTTAAAAAAAAACTGGCAATTGAATTCAATTGAAAATTAAACCATAAGTAATCAGTTTAATTTCAAGAGCCCTTGATGTTGTCATGCAACCATAGTTACAAAGTTTGAATGGCAATTGGAAAATACATGCATAGCATCTAACATATACTTACCATGCGCTGTTGAGGTGTGGTTCCTCGCTCAACTGCAGCAGCTGGTAGACCATGATGTATCAACTTTGGTGCAAGAGAAGGGAGGGTTGATAAGCCCATATAAACCACTAAAGTTGAATCAAGGTCAGTAGCATTCTCTGCGACAAAAAGAGGATCTGTTCCCCCTTTTCTTGAGTGACCCGTGAGAAATCTAACACTATTTGCTACACATCTATGGGTCAAAGGAATACCCAGCTCCGCTGCTATTCCTGAAGCAGCAGTAATACCTGCAAGGCGTTTCTCAAACATTCAGCACTAGAGTAGCATGATTTTCAATATTCTTCAACATGGAACATCTTTACTAAACCTTAACTCAGCACATGGCCTTCAAAATTGAAAAAATTATCTGTTATTTTTAATTCTTTTGGGCATTGCGTCAAATGCATGAACCTCCATGCCAATACCTCAAAAAGATGCTACACCCTACGAGAAAAACGCTCCCTTTCATCATCCAAAATATTTCCTACCATTTTAAGTTATTTTAAAACAAACAAGAATAATATGAACACAGCCTCTGGAATACAGGACATATGATTTAAACACCTGTGATTTTACCCTCAATCTATGCACTGTTATTAAATCACAGCAAAACACAATTCATCTCCTATGTACTTCGCATTTGTGAAATTCTGAAAAGCTAATGAAGGATCAGTGTGATAAATGAAGCAGTTGAAAAATAATATGTTAAGTCCATATCATGTAAATCAATAGACATTGACAACCGTTCCTTAAAAATGAGGAATGAGGACATGAAATCAGAAGTAAAATGTTCATAAAATGGTGTAGTTACAGTTTTTTACAGTCAGTCAGGGATTGTTTAACCTTCTCCTTCATCAAAATTTTTGCCTAAAAAATCATTCGATATCCAAGAAACAGGGAAATTTATCCATGATAAATTGCTAATGCGATTTAGAAGATTAGCATACAGTATCATACGAGGGATAACCTTCACCCGAATCCCTTGCTGTTGCAGAAAGTCCATTTCTTCTCCACCCCTTCCAAATATCTGAAAATCGCAACAGTTATTCCAGAAAAAGCCCCAAAAGGAACTAGACTTGAAAAGGCATATCTACTAATTTAAGGAAAAAATGTTGGTAATTGTTAAAATGACTCAGCAGTGGATCCCCTCCTTTAAGTCTAACAACAGTAGCTCCAGCTTCAGCAAAACTCAGAAGCAACTCATGTATCTCTTCCTGCTACAACACCACCAAAAATCAAGCGTTTCACAATTGCGAAACCATAGGACCAAAAAGAAATAAAGAAAACTCAAGCCGCAACTAACCAATTCTACTAAAAAAACTGAGAAATTCATTAAATATAAACTCTTCAGAAATTGAATAAGTTTACCTGAGTTCGGCTATGATAGCCGGCAGTTTTGCCGACGTATAGAAGTCTAGCATCAGGGCCAACGAAGTCTAGTAAAGCATCAGAAACCAACCTATCGTACAACAAAAGATCCGCCTTTTGTATGACTCTGACAGCTTTTAATGTCAAGAGGTCAGGAGCTCCAGGTCCTGTCCCCACCAAGAAGACATTCCCCGATCCATTCTTGGGTATTGGGCCCCCACAGCTCTCTCTCATGTGTTTCAAAACTTGGAGCAGCCTCGCGAGCTCTGGCAACTGCAAAGCGATGTCATTTAGCCTGATGGAGTTACTATCAGGCGGGACGGAGCAAGAGACACCATTTTCATCATTATTAGGAGATTGCAGCTGGTGATTGTTGCTGTTGTAGGCCCACTGGTCCCTTTGGAACCTCTGTAATGAATGCTTCTCCGTGAATGGTGAGGATGAAACACTGGAATTACACAGTAAACAAGAAATGGGTTTTAAAAGCAAAAAATTGGGTTTCCTTAAATTGAAAGCAGAGAGTGAAAGTTTATAGTGATGGCTATAAGGCAGGGCCATTTTAATTTATTGGGTGTGGTAAGATGCCAGAGTAGAGGCTCAAATCAAAAACACAAACACAGGACTAATTTCCAGAATTTCTTCAAGCATCTTTATTTTTATATACTATAATAAAGAAAAACGGAGTTAGAGAGTTTGGGTTTGACAAGGATGTGGGAGATATATAGTTCTGCCGTGTCGGGTAGACTTTTGAAGTTTCGGAAAGATGAAGGCAGGGGCACAACAGAGAAGATCAGAAAGTGACCTTCGGGCACAAGAGGGACAACGATCTGTACGTCTTCTTGCCTTGGGAGAATCCTACAGGGAGCGGCCAGTGGGGCCTTAAACGGTTTTTTTTTTAACTAAAGACATTAATTACCAGAGCTTAGGCATGTATTATGCGTTAGAATGATATCATAGCACAATTTTAAATAGTGAGAAGAATTTTTGTTTCTATTTTTTTATTATTGAAGTTGGAGAGGAAAAGTTTAAAAAAAAGTTTTATTTTCATGGATTTATCAACGATCAATAATTTTAATTTTTAACCTTTCTCTTTTAGATTTTTTTTAGTTTATCTTTTTCCTCTTATTTTGTACTTAAAAAATTTTCTTTTTTTTTCAAATTAAAATTTTTGTATGAAGTAGATTATATGTTAAAAAAAAGAAAACCTAAAAAATAGTTCTTTCTCTTATGAATCCTTAATTAGCTTTTTCAAACTCTTCCACTTCTTTTATTAGATCTATAAAAATCCTTTTGAAACCTAAATATCAAGCGTCAAAAGAATATGTTCAAGTCACAAACTTTGATCAATGTATTCTTTTAGTAAGAACTCAAGAGCATTTTGTTACTCTTCAAATCTTAGAAGAATTTTTTCAATAGTAGTTAGAACAATGATACACTCACATATACTTTGATGTTATCAAAGTAGCTTTGACCTTCTATGACATAAATGATATTTTTGTTTGTACCAAAATGACCTTGTCAGACACAAGATTCAAATAATACAAGCACGCAATACTTGGCATTATTAAGAAAATGCTTAATGCAAGAATTGTCTTTTTCATAGTATTCTTAAATTATAATATGTCTCTTCATGATCTAACACTATTCGATGCTTTAAAAGTTCAAGTTCAGATTATAGGTATAGAGATAAAAAGACTTAAAATAACCCTTTACTACTAGATGACATATAGAGTTTAAGATCATGCCATTAACTTGTCTCTTTGTCACTTTAGTGATGTTGTCTTTGTAAAGAAGAAAACAACAGACAAAAATCCTAAACATATTCATATTTCAAAGTAGATCTTAAATAAAGAACTTACCACACTTTTTTCAAAGTCGTAAACGATAAGTTATCAAAAGATTTAGAAGCAAGATGAACCAATTCAACACTTTGATCCAACCTATAAGTCAAATCATGATGGTACTGTAACAATTGAGTTTGATCATAGCAAAGAAAAAAATGTTCCTCCTCCAACAATTTTTTCAACTCAATTCATGATGCAAACATGTCCAACTGAGCAAACTGTTTCAATTACTCACTTTTATTTTAATGGCAATCTTGTATATGCATACAGATCTTCACAAGAACATTGTTATTGGGACACTGATTGCAGATACGAATGATGCCAGAAGGACTTATACAGAAGCTTTCTGGATGATGATAATGATGATGATATTTCAAAAAAGCAAAAAAAAAAAGTATTCCCAACAAAAGCTTAAAGAAAGATAAGAGAATGAAGACCCTAAAGTTGATCTCTTTGGTGAACCTTCAATCAAGTTTGACAATTATGTCATTTATCATAAGAAAAAAAATTTTCCCCAAACCACACACAAACCAGATTCTACCCAACCCTTGCCTAAAATATTAATGATGCAACCAGGCTACCTAGGACAGTCTTACAACTTAGATTTTTTTTCTTTCCAAGAATTTCAAAAAGATCAATATAAACACATTCCAAAAGTCTCAAACCCCACTGACATAGATGAATATGAAAACTAAAAAAGTATTTCTCGTGCTAAAGTAGTTTTAAACTAGCAAACTGAAAAATTTTTCTAGCAGAATGCATACTTGTATAGAATTGAATACAAGTTGAACCAAGTCAGTCATCATTTTGATCAAATCCTTGTCAATCTTCAAAACATTATTTTTAAAATTCAATCAAAGATAATATTTTTAGATCAAAAGCTCATATACATGGCTGAAAACTAACACTGGATTTATTTATGCTTTCACTGAAAGAGAGAAAAAAATGAAAAGTCTTAAGATTCAACTTGTAAATCTTCAAAATCAACTCTGCCAGAAACAACAACAACAAACAGTCTCTAACTACAATATTTTCACTCTACTTAACACTGGCATGCATGATACCCCTTATCAAGCCTATTTCATCTTTCTTACCAACCATACAATCCTTTAACCTCACTTTCAAAATCTTTTTTCACACCATTTTAGTATAAACCTCTCCTTACATCTATACCAATATCTTTACAACCAAAACAATACTTCATTCCTATCTTAGACCAACTAGAACAACCTCTCTTTTGCATAATTGAAAAATGGATTCACAGATTTTTTAAAAAATAATCAGTTGACCTAAAACCAAAAAAAGTTATAGAACAATTATTTTCTCAACCTTCAAAGTCAAAACCAAGCTCAAGTTTTACACTCCAAAATCCTACACCTCACACAAACCAAAAACCTATACAACTCGTGATTTCTCCTACACAAACCCTTCTAGAAATGATTCATCAGATGGTAAAAAAAAATCTCTCTTAATTTTTTTTTAAAGATATTTTTTTGTCTACCTTTGAGACTGACTCAATTGTTTCTCCAAAAAAGTCAATCGATATAGATGACACTGATGATTCAAATGAGTCAAAACTTTCTCAGATCTTTATGACAGAACCAAGTTTCAGATGATAATCCAAAAGTATATAATCCTGATGCAATGGACACTGAACAACACCCTCATCCATAACAAACACAAGTTCCTCCCTCGACATTAAAATTCTCAACTTTTACAATTGATGATATTCCTCCTTCAAAATGATCCTCAAGGTTTCAAGAGTTTTTAGCATAAGGATTAGCTAAATTGAACTCCAATCCCAGTGTTATGATGAATACAGTCTTGATCAGATTTATTTTCAGACTAGTTGAAACTTTGAAAAACTTTTAAGATAATATTACTGAATACATAGAACTACAATTTCTTCAATGCCCAACAATCACAGAAGTTGTATCTCAATTTGTAGCAATATTTTACTACCAAGAAACTCACAGATTAGAAAAAAATTGAGAATAATTTTTCAAGTTGAAATGCTATTTCCTCTATCCAAAAGATATTGACAAACACTATCAGCAGTTCTCTTAATATTTCTACATACTTGGTAGATTTGATGATATCAACCTCAAGAGCTTTTCTCAACTCTATTTCAAAGAACTTGCACAGCAAACAAGAACATATTTGAATCTTAGATCTCTTAATGTTAGAACTATGAACCTTGAAGATATTTATTTCTTTCAAGGACTCCATATGTTTTTGCAATCACAAGAAAAAAAAGTACTTCAGAAGATTCAGATTTTTTAAAAACTCACATTTCTCTTAAACAAAAAATTATTCAGACAAACAGAAAAAGCCTAAAGATTTCAAAGATTCAAGTTTGCAAGAAAGAAAAGCAATCCAAAGATCAAAAGTTCAAAATGCTTTCTCTGTGAAAAACCAAGGCATTTTATAAAGAAATGCTCAAAGTTAGACAAAAGATAAGTAAAAATGGTACAAGATATTACCAATATATCTGGTATTAATGTTTTTTATGATGACCTTGAATCGGTCTTCTCTTTTGATGATAAGCAAAATTAAAAATCACTATTTATGATCAAGTAGTTTGATAATGACACTTTAGATTCAGACTCAGATGAATTTATAGATGATCAATGTTACGAATACATGTCAGTTCAAGAACTTCAAAAAATTTAAACCCTCAAACCTCTAAAATTACCTCTAGCTTCAGTTCAGATTTTCACTCACAAACATTCTCATTTTATAATAGTCATGGCATATTTTGATACTGGTGCAGCCTAAACCATAACAAATCTTATTGTTTTACTAAAAAATCTTTGAAAAAAATAAATCCTTTTTCAAGATCGTTGATGAAAATATATTATTTACAAATTTTATCAACAACTCTGTTAACTTTCAAATTTTCTCAGATAGTTAAATAACTCAAAAGATTTTAAGATTTTTACTTCCTCAAAAAGACCTTGTTATTGGTTTTGATTTCATAACCAGTATACCAGGTTTAAGACTTAGTGAAAAAGGTATACAGTTTGAAAGTTATTTCAGACCTTGAAAAAATCTTCCCAACCTCTTTACCCTAACCATTCAACAATATGTCTTCTAAGAATTCAGACAAAAATTTATTCACTTTTTCTTTACAGAAAATCATTCAGAATTTCTCAAATGTAAACCACCCTCTTAGGAAAAACTTTGAATTTTTCATTATCCTTCCATTTAAAAAAGATGAAAATACCAACCCCCACAAAAGCTAGTCATTTAGGCATGAACCTAGATCATTTCAAGCTAGTAACTCAAAAATATTTTTTCTCCGAGCTCAAGGATTAATTAAACCAACCTCTTCTCCATGGGTATATGAAGCGTTTTATGACAATAAACATTCAAAATAAATTCATGAAAAATTAAGATTGGTGATTAATTATAAGCTTCTTAACATTTTTCTTGCATATGATAAGTTTTTTCTTTCAGATAGAAAAATTTTATTTGTAAATTTGTCAACTGCAAAAGTTTTTTCCAAGTTTAACTTGAAAACATGATTCTAGCAGTTAGGTATAATCTATAAGATAGATACAAAATGGCATTTTACATCCTTCAACACCGTTTTCAGTGAACAGTTATACCTTTTGGTTTAAAAGTGACTCTTTCACTCTTCTATAAAGCAATGACAAAGATATTTACTCTCATTTTTTATAATTCATTAATTTACATTGATGATATCTTACTGTTCTTTTCAGATGTCACATCTTATATACAGTTATTAAATAAGTTCTAACAGATTATTCAACAATATGAAATAATGCTCTTAGAGAAAAAAATGATCATTGACACCTCAAAATTTGATTTTTTAGGCATGCATTTGAAAATGGACAGTACATAGCTCAATTTCACATAGTTAAAATACTTGTAGATTTTTTTGATAAAATTTTTTCAAGAAATAAGTACAACAATTATTTAAGGTAGTCAATTACATGAGTGAATTTTTTTCAAATATTGCACAGTTAACTCATCCTCTCAGATAGATGTTAAAGAAAGAACCTCTCACATGATCTAGAAGCAGACAACAGTAGTTCAGATATTAAAGATAAGAGTGCAATTATTTCTTACTTTAAAGATTCTTTTAAATGAAAAAAAAGATATGTAGACAGATGCAAGTGAATAATTTTGGTCAACAATCCTTTTAGAAAAAAAAGATGAAACTAGATAGATATGTGATTACAAAAATGATAGATTCAAATATTCAAAACTCTATTATCACTCTATAAAAACCTCACTTTGATGATGAATTTGACTTACTTGATGAATTCTTTAACCTTTCAATAGAAAGTCTTTCTCCATAGTTATCAAGACTTATCACCACTAAATCTCTTGACCAAAGAGTCTTACATCTCTTGCTTAAATACTAGTCCAAAATACTTAAAAAATTTAGAAATACTTCTATCCAATCTTGGTATACATCTTGAATGCCCCTTCATCCATATCTTCAAATTTCCTGACCCACTTTGTTTCCCAAAAAACTAGTTTGTTTCATGTGGTAACTATATTATCTCTATAATATTATTGTAAAATTTCCACTCCTAAGCTCAAAACACTTTTCTACCTTTTTTAGTAGATAACCATCAACACTATCAGACACCAGATAAACCCCAGTCACTAGCACCTCAAGTTTTTTTTTCACTTGATTCAAACCCATTCTAATTTGGATTAAATAGATAAAACCTATGAGAGATACACAAAAGTTTTTCATGATCCTCACATTATTATGATTTTTCATAGATCATGCAATTATTTGGTAAATGAACCTCAGTACTTTCCGTATGTGATAATTTATAGCTCATAAGGTTATTCATTGTCAGATTCTCTTTTTGATCACCCTGCTAAATATACTAAATTTCAGAGACAGATTTGTTAAATAAATCATAAAATTTTCAAGCAAAATTGGTCAAAGCTCCAATATGATGTTTCATGAAAAAATTATCCTTCAGAATACAATTATCAACTCAAGATTGATAAAAAGATTTATGAGACTAGATTTGATGGTGTATGGACAGAACCTCTTTCTAAAACTACAAGATATAAACTTAAACATACAAGATCAATAGAATGGAACCCTTACTGGAAACCTCTTGAAGTTCTCAAAGAAATGGAATAGCAAGATTCACAGGACCCTTATGAAGATTTTAACCAGATCAATGGTTAGCAAATATAGGTTATGATTTCACTCTAGGAGCATACAATTCCCACCTCAACCTCTTTTCAGAACACACTCACAGCTCTCACAAATAATGTTGATCAAGTTATAAATCCAGTCATGGTGCTTTAAGATAAAAAATTTCCTGTTTCAGTCCAGTTATATATAATTATGTGTGATAATACTCTCCAGATGCTTTCTAAAGACTCCAACGTTGATGTTGACGTCTCACCAAACTTTTCATCAGCTTTATGTCAACTTTTAATCATGTCTACTTTATATCTAATCTAGTTTTATATTATTGATGAGTCATCTTTACTTTTTTAAAGTAGCTTTAGAAAAATACATATCTATTTTTTTAAAGTAACTTTATATCAAGTTACTTATAAGGTCATGACTTTAATCATGACTTCGTCCTATTAGTTCACTATTTCTTTACTTTTTTATGTATTAATTGTAAGCTCATTCTCTTAGAAAGGACAAGTTAGAATTTCTTAAGTTTTTCATTCCTATCTTCTCTTGTAAGAAATCATTTTTTATAAAAAATATATTTGGCCAAAAAACTTTATTCTCTTTTGGTAATTCCTTTCTCCTTTTTCTATAGTTAAAGTTTCATATTTATAGCTCTTCTATCTATTTCATGATTTATAGTGATATAAGTTAAATATACTCTGCAGTTACCATAATATCGTAGATCATCTGCATCAAAAATTCTTGTAAAATTGTCAAACAGATCATTAATCCACTATTTCAACTAAATAAAAGTTATTATACCAAGATTTTACTAAAATAAGCTATTATAGTGAAAGACATATCACCATAAAAGTTAAGCCACCAATTCGATATTAAGCCAAGAGGGTGCCAGAGTCTTGAACATCGATTAGAATACTTTAGTTATATGTTCGATCTATGAAATGTTTATATTTGATATTATCTTGATAAGATAATTGATTCGCACGCTATCAAATAGTATTAGATAATATCAATGTCATAATTCTATCACCTGAAGAGTCCGAAAATAAAAAATAAAGGTTAAGGTACATTTATAATAAGCAATCTTTTAATTGGATTTCATTTTGATTCTTAATGATAGTTTTGAATTTTTTTAAAAAGGTGTTAATATGTTATTTTACATAAAAATAAGAAAAATTATAAATTAGAGTAATAGATTTAGAATTAATATTTTTATGGTTATAAAAAATGTATTTATTAAAGAAAATTTATAAAAATTTTTAAAAGTAAATGGAAGTATAAGTTTTTTATTTTTAAAATTCAACTTAAAATTAAGAATAAAATGATACTTTAATTTCTTTTAAAATAATTATAAAAATTTTATTTTTTAATAAATGCATTTTAATATGATAAAAAAATAATTTTAGATCCATTATCTTAATTTTTTTTTTTATTTTATTAAATTTTATTTTCTTAATATTTACAAATTTTAATTAAAATATACAATTAAATTTTATCAAAAATAAAGCTAAATATTATTTTTAACAAAAATAATACCAATATAATTTAAATATATTTATTAGTAAAAATAGAATTTTTAATAAAAAAATTAAAGTATTTTTTTTATTTTAAAAATCTTATATCTATTATACATTATAAAAGCAGTTTCTGACTGTTTCAGCCTTTTTGTTCTTTTAATTTGATGTACACGTCTTTAATGTCATAAAATAATTGAAGGATAAATTTGAGAAGAAATGTCCAGCATAATAAAGACTTTTGTTGGCAACTAAGAAAGAGTAGGAAGCTTCTGGAGAATGTGAAAACCTTCCAAGCAAACAGATTTCCAGCCTTTCTTCCACCCTTTTAGAGGGGATTTCTCTGAAGTTTCTTTCTATTTTTAATTCTCTCTTTTGACAACCAAGAAATGGTAGGAAGATTATGGTGAATGGAAGAAATGTTCTTAAAAAAACAAATTTACAGCCTTTTTTCCACTCCTTTTGAAGACGATTTTTGTCAGGTTTTTGTGAGGTTTCTATCTTCTTATAATTCTTTCATTTATTATTGATCGTATTTTAACAAATTTAAAACATGCAATTTTTTTTTTAACTTTTCTATTTGATCTTCATCTAACTCTTTAAATTTTTTTGTTCTTTTGATTTCAATCTCTGGGTTTAGAAGTTTTTGGGTAAAAAAGGGGGGAAGGAGAAATTAAAGTTTGGGTCTAGAAGCTTCACAATGTGAAAAAATGAAAACATGGTAAGGGGAAGGAGAAGGGAAAGGAGAAGAGGGGTAGCGACAGCATGGGTTGGATCGATCCTTTGTTTTTCTTTTGCACGTTGCCTGTGGTGATTCAAATTTCAATTTTTTCGTCTCTCTTTTCTGTCCATTTTAACCCCTGTTTGGTTGGTTTTTTTTTAAGAAGAATAAATGTCTTCCAAAAAGCTGCTTCCTTGGTATTTTTTAATTAAGCTTTGGTTTTTTACTTAGTTATGTCTTTTTTGGGTCTCTAACAACTTGATCTTGAAGTGAGTTTTGATGGGTTTTTTCTTTCCTTTTTTTTTTTTTTAATATTTGTTGGCCTTGGTTTTGATCTAGGTTCTTTTTATTGATTTATTTAGATTGATGATTTTGTAATTTTAAAGTTGCCCTTTTTATTGATTAGAAAATTGTAGACTTTGTCTGAAGCTTATCTGATTGCTTGATCAAATTTTTTCAGGAAATTAGGTGAATTTGAGGTTTGCATTTTTTTGTAGGGTTAAATCTTGCATCTTTTTAGGTTAAAGATTGCATACATAAGAACACAGAGAAGAATGAAAATGGTTAACATGGAATTATGTTTAATCATTACCAATTTTAAGTGGTTGCAAGTATGGTTAATCAATCTTATCTGTGTTACACAAGATATTTCAACAAATCTAAATCTGCTTTCCTATAAATGTGTAAGACATTCTCCGGGTTAGCATAGTGAAAGTGTCACGGACCTAAAGAGGAGTCCTAAATCTCACATCGAATATAATAAGAGGGTCACTAGGGTATAAAAGGGTTCACACCATTTCTTCCTTGTGAGGTGTTTTTTGTAAGACAAAACCGTGAGATCAGGAGGGTCAGAGCGGACAATACCTCACAAGGGTGTGAATTGTGGCTGTTAGATTGATTCGAGACGCCGGAAGGGTGAATGCCCGGGTCCCGGAGTCGCGCGGGTTCGGAGCTTAAGTCTTGACCCGTGACAAGTGGTGAGCCAGCTTTATACCGTTCGATCTACGTCGAGCACCTCGAGGGAGGTAGACAGGGTGCTAGCCTCCGTGACGAGGGTGTCACGAGATTGGGTGCGGAAGAATGTCACGGACCTAAGGAGGAGTCATGAATCTTACATCGAACATAATAGGAGGGTCATTGGGGTATAAAAGGGTGTTCACACCATCTCTTCCTTGTGAGGCGTCTTTTGTAAGACAAAACCGTGAGATCAGGGGGGCCAGAGCGGACAATACCTCACAAGGGTGTGAACCGTGACGGTTAGGTTGATCCGAGACGCCGGAAGGGTGAATGTCCGGGTCTCGGAGTCGCGCGGGTTCGGAGCTTAAGTCTTGACCCGTGACAAAAGCACTAAGTTGTATAGATTTTAAGGTAACAACAATGCGTAAATCAGTTTTGGAAATGTCATCTAAATGGTTTGATACTATTTCTAAATCAAGGTAATATTGGCTCAAAATTTTTGCCGAAAGTAGGGGTTAGTTGGTTTTTTCCTTCTCTTTTTTTTTTTTGTTACTTTATGAACTTGCACGGTCATAGGATAGGCTTGCATGATCAGCTTGTGAAGGAAAGGTGCTTGCATGGTCATAGGATGAATTAGTGAAATTATCTCTTTATGCTCGTGCAATAACAGATGTGGAGGATGAGGAATTAAGAAGCTTCTTTTATGGAATGTCACCTTAGCAAGTAAATCATCTTACACTTATTTGCTGCTTAGATATCCTCTTTCACATGCTTCATCTGTATTGATGCAATGAGGAATTGATTTCACCTTGTTCAAATTTTGCAGTTCATGCTTATGGTTGCTGCCAGCTTAGTCGAAGTGGAGCTTTTCTACGGGATGCTGTTCAGGTCTGTCATCTTAAAAATTTCATTTTATCATATTATGTTGAATTACTTATATGGAAATTATTAAAATTATTTACTTATATGGAAATTATTAAAATTATTTCTAACCAAGAGACATGGTATTCTCAAACTTGTGTAATTATTGTGCTATAATCTTTCAATAAGCTATAGCATACTTATTGAATTTTTACGTTGAAGTTGTTATATCTTTGATATCTGAATTGTGAGCTTCTTTTCTCAATTCCATACTACCCATAATGACAATCAACTGATAAGAATAACTTGTGATTGAAAAAAACAGGGAGCATTGGCTGATATATTCCTTAGAGGCACTGAGTTGGTTTTGGATACTCGAGGAATGGCATCACTGGTATACATTCTATTCTACAGATCATACTTTCTATTTTGTGGTAATAAATTTAATGACTCTTTTTGTTCTTCCAAAATTGCAGACTGGTGTGCTGCCTCCCTTTGTACCATTTTCTCAGGCATTTGCAGTTGTAATAACAACAGCTTTTATAGGTTCTCTTTATTATGTGGCTGCCTCTCCAAAAGGTAGATTCTGTCTGTCTTTTTTGAGAAATTTTTAGTTATCGTCAAGTTCAATTTTTATTTAGTTTTTACTTTTCTTTCTCCCATTTTTAGATTCTACTTATGTAGTTGCACTCAGTGAACTTCAAGTTTATTAACTTGTCCTAGACAATGATGCAGTGAACTTCAAGTTTATTAACTTGTCCTAGACAATGATGTCTTTTAATGGTGAGCTTGCTTAACTTTTAAATATCATGATCCAATTTGTTGCTAGTAAATATTGAAGCATTCTATGTATAATTGGTAAGAATTTGTGAGATTGTGGATGTATTAAGAATTAAAAGAGAACTTTTAGTTTTGCATGTCTAATCCAATGTCTCCAAAACCCATAAAGTTAGTGATTCAAGAAATCAAAGTCACTTGTTATTTTCTACACCGGAATGTCTCCTTTATATTTCTTTGAAGTGGGCAATATAAGCACAAAGATGCATTTGAGAGTTGCGCATGATGCTGTTGTATTTTGTGTTTCTTCAATTGGTTCTATTGATGCTTTTTGCAAGAGGTGGAAAAAGGGTTTTTTTTTTTTTTTTTTCGCTGTTTGATTTTAATTATTTAAAAGCTTCATACATTTTATTTTCCAATTTAATTAACATCTAATGGAGGGTGTTCATTTCTTATTTTTCTCCATTTCTGTTTGTTACGAGGTGAATAGTTAGCTGCAGATAGGACCAATATATGTTGATATATTTGACTTCAGTGACCAGCACTCATTTCAAAGTAAGGTACAGTGCTCCTCCTTTATTCACACTTATTTAGCGACCAACAAAGCTTTAATTGTAGTTTTAATCTATTTATTGTGCAAGTTCAAGGGATAAAAGACCCAATCCTTATCAGATTGTTAATTGATGATTGAAACATAGCTATATAGTGTGTACAATAATTTCATTTCTTTTTTCTTCCTTTTTCAATCTTTTATGTCTTAGATTTATTTTTCCAGAAATCAAGTTTCTGATATCTTGATGTCAATGAATATAGGATATTCATACGATGAGAGAATGAGTTAGACAACTTCAAGACAAATTTGGTTTTAAGCCAATTGTTATAGTTACAGAAAAGGTGAGTAACCAAAGAAACTGGTTTTGATACATGCAGCAGAGTTTTCTTGATATGAATCTTTCAATCAGTTTTAGTCCTTGACAGGTTGCTCTAGAAATCTTTAACCATTTGATCCAAAATAATAATGAACTCTTATTTGCTTTTAGAATTTATCTTTCAATCCTTAATCCTTCATCCTTTTCTTAGAAGAAGTGTATCAGAGGTTGTAAGGATAAGCTTGCTATCTTGCTTATAAGTGTCATAGATAGGATTTTGTGGTATTTGTTTCACATGTTCTTATGATGATGACTTGGTAAACTAAATACATGGACAATTTTAATACTGTTTTTCTAAAACTTTGTTAATATGTTTTCTAATTGTAGAAAACTAAATAATATTTGTTATCGTTCACTGTAAAATTAAAAATAGTTTTTGAGTTACTATTGTAATATCTTTATTGTTGTTGAATATTGAATAATTTAAAATAATTTATGTTGCAAAGAACTTATTGCAGTAGCGAAGCATGGGTTATCTCCTAGTAAATATATAAAATCCAAAGTTTTTTATAAAAAAGATAATTGTCCTACATGGATGGTCTAATTTTTTTACATGTGAACAATCTTAAATAACTTTCATGTGTCCATTATTAAATGGGTTTTATTTAATTTGACTTGATTTTCATCAAATTAATTACATTCATATAAGATAGCTTAAATATCTTTTTTATTTAATTTTAATTCTTCTTTGATTTGTTTCTAATCAAATTAATTATATTTACTTTTAAAAAATATATAATTAATGGTACTATATTTCTAAGTTTTAATATAAGAATTGATTTGCTATTTAACTAATTAATAAGATAATATTTGAGTCAAAGAAAGAAAATGCAATTTCAATGGACTAATTGATGCCACCCATGAATAAATATAGAAAGCCAAAATATTTGCTTGAATTTTTTTAAGATTAAGCTTAGGAATATATTTTATTGGGTAAATATTCATTTTCAACATTTTTTCATAACAAATTTTTTAAACTTATACATAATCTTTGCTAAAACTTTTCATGTGAAATGTAGAGTTTTCAAAAAATCATGTTGCATAAATAATTAATAACCCATTGTAATTGCATTGCATAATTTCTTTTAACTAATTGTAGGAGTCTCCCTAATTCATATTATAAATTAAGAACTGCGGCAAGTCAAGATTATTTGAAGACCACTATCCAAAAGCCTTTAAATTTATCATTTATTTATGATTAAGTAAATTTTTGTTCATGCAATTCTATTAACTTTTTTATGGGATCGAAAATTTTATTTTTAAGTTTTTTTATTAGTGTATTTTCGTCAAGTTACATTGTTCAATTCAGTTTTTGAATTACTATTCACTACTAACAATACGAGATAGTGATCACTAAGTTGGATGCTTTTCTTGTGTGTTCATAGATGTTTTTTCTTTATTACATTTGGTAGTTGGTATTTTTTTTTTATTAACTTTGTTTTTGCATATTTATACTTCATTTATTTATTTATTCATTTTTTTCTTATTTTGTTAGAATTTTTCTTTGTGACTGATAGAGGACAAGTGAGATCTTTTAGTTAAGTTTGGAGTTTGACTGAATTCGACACAAATTTTTGTTCTCTCATTTGTCTTTCATTTTAGGTGTTTAATTTCACAAATATCATGTTTATCTATATTTAATATATAGTATATGATTTCATTCCCATCTGCTATGGAATGCAAATTCAAGTTAGACTGTTTTAGCCTTTGGGAATGCAATGTAAGAATAGTTATCACCTGGTCAAAAGTTTGTCATTGATTAATGCAAGTTCCGGATGGTGGATAAGCTGTAGGTCTTACACTAGAGCAAACACAAAAAATTGCAAATCCAGCTTATGTGGGGCCTACTAAAATTTAAGCTTTTGGATATTTCCTTTTATTACTTCCTTTTATCTATCATCTTCTTTTATTACTTATATATATATATATAAATATATATATCCTTTAATAAAATTCAAATATTGTGATTACAATGATTGAAGAAGATTCTTAAGTCTCAACCCTAATAAAAAATTTATTACATGAATGCTTTTTTGAGCTTACGATGATTAGGATTAATTCTTAAGTCTAAAACTTGCCACTATTTATAAAAATTTGAAATGTCATTTATCGTATTATATGCATAAGATCTTTAATTAAATTTAATTACTCTATAACAATAATTTTGTGGTTTCCATAATTCCATTGTTAGTTTTCTATATTTAAAATTTTAAGTTTGAACAAAAAATATGAAATATGCAATAATAAAACCAACAATAATGTAATACAAAATAAAAAAAAAATGTTGAAATATGGCCATAACAAAGGCATGAAAAAGTTTGTATGAAAAATTGATTTCAAGTGGAGTATATTTTAACTCTTACGAATCAAACATTGTTTGATTTTATTTAAATATTTATTATATGAGTATGATATAAAACCTTTTTTTTGAATTTTATTAAAAACATATTGATCTATGATATTTATCTTTTGCATTGTTTATTTTATATTGAAAATTTTTATTTTCTTGTATATGATGTATTATAATTGAATTTTAGTATATATAATTGCGTACCCGTGTATTACACAAACTTAAAGCTAGTTTAACTTAAAATCAGAGAAAAAAATAATACCTTATTTTCTTTTGCAATAATTATAAAAATTTTATTTTTTAATAAATACATTTTTTCCAATAGTAAAGAGTAATAATTATAAATTCATTGTCCTGATTCTATTTCTTATTTTATTTTATTAAATTTGATTTCTCTAATATTTACAAATTTTGATAAAAAATAAAAAATTAAATCTAATTAAAAATAAAGTTAAAAATTACTTTTAACCAAAAAAAAAAAAAAAGAAACGAAACATATCTAAATAATTTGGACTTGGTGGTTGACATTTATTTTCTCCAAAAAATATAAAAAATTTGTATATACTAAAGGATTTAATTAATAAAGATAACAGTCTAGTCAATTCCTTTAAACTTAAACAATAAAAGAATCATTTTCATTAGCTAGTGATTTTGAATGAATTAATTATAATAAAATATTTTCTTATGATACTACGGTAATAAATAAGTTTGTTATGTCATATTTGCATCATTTTAGAGAGATTCAAATTATACTAGTAATAATTTACAAAAAAATGCTTTTTAAAATTATTAATTATTATTTAATTCTGTTTGACTAAGTGTTAAAACATTATTTGGGTATGTTTTATTTATTTCTTTTTTAAAAAAGAATTCTAGCATGTTATAACTCAGTATTTGACTTGAAAAGAGCTAAAAAAAAAAAAGGGGTAGCGTTGGATTTTTCATAGTTGAAGGTCCGAAGCACAAAAACTGGAAGCTTTCTCGAAACTAATGCTAATTAAGAGACTGATGACTCAATACCCGAAATGCGTGGCCCATATTTCCACCATGAGATGGCATGAAAACATCACTTTTCTCAGAAACTATATAGTCAATAGCAGCCATAAGAGAAGCCTTGGTGGCAAATGATTCAGGTTCCCCAGGCAACGCAAGATCTTCCTTACTGTAAAAATGGGGAAATTCTCAGGTTAATGGTAACAAGGTTTCTTTCCCACCCAGTGGTTACCCTTCAGCCCAGTATTTTTTTTGCACTTCTTATGGCCCCAAATTAAGCTTTAAGCAGCCTAAAGCACACAACAAAGCAAGTACAACCATCCAATTTTTGAGAAGATTGTTCAATACAAAAAAGGTATCAATTGGAGCACATTTCATAACTTAAAGGAAGAGAACTTGGTAGACTTGACCTAGAAGCCAAGAGTGAGACTTCAAGTACCTTGCAGTGAAGCTTTTGAGGATCAGGATGAAGATCTTCGGAGAGCCTTGAATCCAGACCTCGTAAAAGCAAAACTCCTTCCCTACTTGTCTTTTGCACAGAGAGAACCATATAGATATGAAAAGATTAAAAAAAAAAAAAGGCAAATGACAAGTAGTTCATATTCAACATGTGCAACGTATCTAATTAAGCATAAGACTTTTTAACTCCTAATCTTTAACACTATTGTATCACAATTCCACTAAGAAAGACTCGGTTCAACCACCAAAATCATTTGGCAAGGACTGCAACCAGAACTAACATGGTCGACAACAAGCATGAGGATTAGTGGCCCCGAAAAGCTATGATGAAATTGATTCAAGAACTGCGATAATTGATAGTCTTTAGTCAACTAAGGACATGTATTCAAGTGGGAACCAATTAGAAATTTCTCCAACTGCCACAGTTGAACAGCAATGTTAGTTCACGCTTAAAAACGACAACAATGAGATGGTGAGGCATGATTTCCAGTCAAAACCGACACACCTCCCAAATCTTCTTATTACACACCAAGCTTTAAGGGACAAGTTTGCAAAGAAGCAGAATATATTACTTGCTGAAATAACATAGCGGAAAGGGATTCATACCCTCTTAAGACAACAAAGATAAACGATCATAAGCAGCGTAACTTAGCTTTTATGCCAAAATTGTACGAATGAGGGTGAAGAAACAAGAAAGGCTGATGGTGGTGATTGAAACGGCTTGATAGTAGAGTCCATCTACTATTTCATGAAATAATCATGATATCCCCTTACGACTAGGAAGCCTCGGCGTTAGATGAGATTGTTTGTTCTAGTGGCCCTTTTTAATGGTCGACCATTCCCAATAACACAGTAAAATTTTTTAGTTTGGCTTCTCACATAAAAATTTTGTCAACAACTTACCCGATACAAGGTATCTATTTTGCATTGCAGTTAGAAATATCAAGCAAAAACAATGCTATAAATTAGCGTTCAAATAAAGCAGGTCAAAAAGAGAAAAAAGGATCAAAAGTGAATGATTTCAATCTATTTTGAATAAAATAAGTTGCAAACCTTAATGAGTAATTGTTCATCTTAGAATTGCAAACCTTAAAAGGGGATCTACCTGTTAATTCAAACTGTTTGGTCATTTCAGCCAACTTGTCAGGTAAAAAGGAAAAATGAAATATAATTTAACTAACTCAATAACCACATGAATCCACATCCTGCGTAACGACTAATCTAAAAGAGAAACAAGAATCGATGACCCTTTTAAAAGGATAACACAAGAAGTCATCAGGATAACAAATGCCAAGCACTGATCAAAGGGTAACATGGGTCCAAGACCCTCTTAATATCAATATTAAAAAAAAAAAAAAAGAGCAAAACTCACCTCCCTTTCAACCAGATCAATATAGTAAATAGATGATTTTTTTTCCTTTCGTAGGAATCAAATAATTATATCAGCTACTGAATTTACAAGATATCCGTGCATTTGACCCAATCTTGAGCATTACCATGCACTTGAGCAATGTCCCTTATGAAGGAAATGATGTCAATGAAAAGCTGCGGCGGACTGTCAATGAAAATTATGATCAATAGCAAGCAAAAACTCTTAGAAGATTCGTCTTCGAATCATGCTCCTCTATGCTTCCTGGGAAAGATTAACAGTAACAACTAATCCACAATCTCCCCTTCCTCCAATTCCTTGGCAAAGAAAACTCCACTGGAATTTGAAAGGTCCCTTTTATCTTCTGTTCCTGACTCCTTAGCAAAATCACCTTCCAAATCAAGAAAGTCATCTGGATTAATTTCAGCAATAAGGTCCGAATATGCATCTATTAAGCCTTGATCAAAATCGAATTCCATGTCCTGAAAAACTTCAGAGCCCTTAGTATGGGAGTTAGAATGCACCCTGTTGCCTGCCCCAGCTCTTGTTGACAAAGACAAAACTGAGTTACTGAATGCTTTCTCAGACTTGTTTTGATGAGGGATTTGATGCTTTGGACTTGAAATCACATTTTTCATAAGATCAAAGACCTGAGGGTCTAAAGAGCCATCATTGGCTTCTATTTCCTCCTCCTTGAACGTAACACTTTTTGGGATTTCATTATCAGCACTGCTAAAATCTTTGCCCTCTGGCCTATGAGTGACAGGACGATTCTCCCTAATAACTTCAAAATCATAGCATTCCAAAGGAAGAAATACATGAATTACTGGATACTCTAAAATAACTGTATCAGCTAATTGTTGCCGTATTGGGGCCTTTATGTCCAACTCCCGAAAAGGTGACTTTGGTCCCTACAATAACACAAGAAAATCATCTATAGGCTAGACAGAAGACTTTCGGTAGAGAATGATGTGAAAAGGCAAGCATCATTACATATAATCCATAATCCAAGGCCAAACTAGACCAGCTAATTATTGAGTAAAAAATCCCAGAGTCCAATGGACTTCAATCCAGGATGAGTGTATTCCATATAATCCAGATGATGTAACTTCAAGAACCTAAGGTGGTAGAACTTCATTAAATTGCACATTTCCTACTGGATCACTGAACTTAATTCCAATCTTAACATGGAAATGCAGTAAATATTCAACCATGGAAACATAGCAACATTCAAACAACAATCAACTAGGTTAATGGATTTCTAAATATCCAAAACAAAATATTCATCACCTAAATGCTCAGGGTGTGTACGTGCAGGTTGGTGAGTATAACTTGAAAGATTGGAGAGAAGAAAAAGAAAAGAATGAACCCAGAGGCCTAAACCACCTTAGGGTATTTACGGATAAAAAACTTGAGGCAGTGAAGCTGCTCCTGGCAGAATTGCCTTAGAGGATGATTCCATGGGCCAGGTTTGAGGTGGTTCTCAATTACTGAGCAGAGGCTTTTATCTTCATGTACTCTGCAAAAAAAAAAGCGTCAGTTGTCCAAAGCAATTAACCAGTCACCTAATAAGAGACCATACAAAGAACACTGGTCAAGAGAAAGATTGGGGGGGGGGGGGGGGGGGGGAAGCAGGGTTGTTTGACAATCAGGTCTTAGGGCAGCTTACCCATGGTCAAGTAAAACAACATCTGTTGAGTGAAACCGCCATTCAATTGTCCATGAAATGTACTTCCTGAAATGAAAATACACAAGAAAAGGAATGCTTAGCTTGTGAGAAAGCGGTTACAATGCTGATTCACAGACCGCTTCAGAATATTCAGCTGATTTAAAGTTATAAATGATTATTTGGTCGCAAAGAGGGCAAACTGCAGAAGTTGAAAATCTAGCATCAATTTAGTAGGGAAAACGCATCTAATTTTATGAAGGAAGCCATTCAGCAAGATATATATATATATATATATATATATATATATATAATAGTACCCGCTATGAAATCGAGTTTGATTAATTTCCCTCTTAGACATTCCAGTAGGGAGAAACAAGAGCTTAGTTCTGCGAGAGGCAGCGGCAGAGCGGAGGTTTCGAAGGACAAATGGTAGCTTAAAATGAGGAGGATAGTTACTACATAATTTGGATCTCATTCTTCGAGCAGATTCAGCAACCCTCTTTGTTTCCTCCAGCAAATTATAGTCTACAATAAAATATCACTAGATATTTTATTATATATGATCTACAAGTACAACAAAACTACAATTCTATTTGTATCAATAAACAAATAAAGAAAGAAAAAGAAGGTGCAACCGGAGAGAAGGAGATTATCGTCGAAGTGAGAGAGAGGAACGAAGCAAGTGATGTTCCTCCTGCCATTGCAGCCAGTGCGGCGCTTGTGAGCATTGACGCAAGGGAGGCTGCAGGTGCGGAGGCAGCAACCTGGGCACTTGTACTTTGAGGCCTTCTTTTTGCACTCTTCACAATCCCCATTCCTTGATTCCTCCATTTTCCTTTTTATATTCTCAAACACTGGACAAAAGGGACTTATGACTGCAGCTAGCTTTGCTAGGGTTTTATTTCGTGATGATGAATACGCTACTACTACTTTCTTAATAAATAGTAAACCCTCATCAAGCAATCATTTTCTGCCTTGGCATTTTCTCATCCATGAAACGCTGCGTTTTCCTCTCCGAAACAATCATTGACGTCTAATCTAATTTCTTTTACCGATACGGACGAGATGTTGGAGTCGAAATTCTAGTTTACATATATTTTTTAAATTATATTCCGTTTCGTGGTCCTGGCTTAAGATCTAAAAGTTTAGTTTGGAATTAAGTTTTTTTTTTTAATAGGATTTAATCTTTTTTTGAAACTAAAACATATATATTTAAAATTTTTTAACCATCGGATAAAAAATTAGAATTATTAATTTAAAATATAATACAATAATAAAAAAATAATATGATTTAAAATTTTAAAAATCATAAATTGATCTAATAAAATAAAAAAATTATATTATATATTTTTTTGTGAATAAGAATTGTAATACGTGATTTTCGTATAAAACATAACACGATTATAATATTTTATATAATACGATGATATGAATTGTCAAATTTATAAAAAGTTAAAAAAATTTTTAATTTAATAATATATAATATAATATTATAACATATATAGAAATTTGATAAATTTATTTATATGAACATTTATTTAGACAATTTATTTAAATGGCATGCAAAATTTTATTAAATATTATTTAAAACAATCAAATATAAAATTTTTTAAATTAAATCATTAAATTATATTAAATGTTCAAAAAATATAAATATTGATTTGAATTTAAATATATTTGTATCCAGATATATTTAAATGTAATTATATATTATGTAAAATAATATAAAATCAATATGCGGAATAATTTCTAATTTTATACTATTTATCAAATAAATAAATTTAAGAAATATTCAATTATCCAAATCTTTTAAAATTTAACTTAAACCGAATTATATGTATATTTAATTATTTTATATCTTGATTTAACTTAGTTAAAATATAATAAAATCAAATCAATCATTTTTAATTCAAAATTCAAAAATAAAAAATTATGTTTTTAATTTAAATTTTTTTCTTACCAAATATTCTCCAAAAATTTAGAAATGATAATATTATTTCTTATATATGGATTTAAAATAAATTTAGATTATTAAACCTTAGAAAATTGGTTAAATAAATTTAATTCAGTTAATCTATTTAAATTAAATTAAAAAAATACATATCTCTTAAATTATTGTTATGTGATTTGATTAAAGATTTTAAAAATAAATCATTAGAGAAAAATCAAACTCTTTTATAAATTAGAAGGCTGAAAAATAAAAGGGGAATAATCAGTATAAACTTAGAAAGTTAAAAATAAAGTAAGCCGCTACAAAGATAATTCTGAAAAAAGGGTTTTTAGAGCTTCGACCAAAGAAAAAGAAAATGTAAATCCCAGAGAAGTAAGTGGCAGATTTTAGCTTGAGAAAGAGAACAGAAAAGCTAAAAACCTACAATAATCTACAAGCTATGAAGCTAAAAGCCTTTAGAATTTTGGCTTTCACATGAAAGTTCTCTGACAACTGCGTAATCAAGTAATCTAGTCTATTCCATTAAGTCATAATGATAAATCAAATGTAGTATAAAAGGAAGTCAAATGTGAGTTCTTCTACCATTGCATTGTATTTACTTTTGTTTATTTTAGTGGTAATGTTTTTAACAAATCAACAAATACTTATAAAATTTAAAAAATTTTTATTCATGTGTTCTTTTTAGTTATTCATTTTTTTAATTTTATTTTGATCTAATCTATAATTAGAGGTTTTTATTTAATGAAGTAATTAAAAATTAAATTTTATTAAAATTAATTTTGATGGAAACTAGCAAGGAAAGGAATGAGAAGTGGAAAAAGGAGAAGTAAACAACAAGACAAAGTTGCATAAGTCTTTCACGCACTAAACATGGTATGATATAATCTTTAATTAGATGTTTTTATTTAATGAAGTAATTAACAGTTAAATTTTATTAAGGCTAATTTTGATGGAAATATTTGTGTGACAGATGCAGTTGGAGGGATAGGGTTATTGTCATACATAGGGATGGGATGGTTGTTGTTGCTTCCCGATCTTGCAGGAATAGCAAATCTTACAACAGTGGAGGCTTTTGTTGCTTAGGACATGGGTATACATAAGCTATGTTTAAATAAATATTAATAAAAAAAAGAAAAAATATTTTAAATGAAAAAAAAGATACATATAATTTTTGTTTGAATAATTAAAATTAATAAAAAAATTTAATAACTATTGTTTAAATAAATAGTGAAAAATAAAAGAAATTATTTATTATAATAATTTTTTTAATTATAATATTTTATTGTCTGTGATTTTATAGCACTCTTTAATCAAGATATATCTATTCATATTCAATCATTTATCAAAATCAAATTATCAAAAAATTATAAAAAAATTTTATATTGGAAAAGATGTATAAAACTTACTTGAAAAAAAATAGCTTTGAAAAAATTATAAGATGATTATGATCTGTTTAGGTTTTTTTTATTAAGTTTTTAGTATTAATAAAAATATGGATATAATAATCTTTTTACAAAAAAAAAAATTAACTTTTATTTCCTTAACTTTTTCTCCATATTGAAGTATTAAAAAATTTGGGTCTACAAAGAAAACTGAAAGTTATTTGGTTTTCACTTCTTTCTCATTTTTTAAATTAAAAATTTATCCAAACAAAAAAAAAGTTTTGTTTCATTTACTTTCCCTTACTTTACTTTCTTTTCTTTTCTTTCCCTCAATCCAAACACACTGATAATGTTTCAAGGAAATGTGCTAGGCATAATAAATTCAATCCAACCGGTTTCAACATACCTTTAAATGATAGGTAACTTCATTGATAAAGTAAGACTTAAGAGAAGAGATTCCATTTCTTGTTATGTGAAGCATGTTAGGCTAGAAGCAAATTAGGTTGGATAATACATTAGTACGATTTGAACATTGTAGTACTAATAATGTAATTTAGATGGAAGAATACAGATATTATTATTGCTATTGTAACTCAAGTTATTAGCAATGAAAGTTTCTTATTTGACCAAAATAAAAGTTAAATTTTATTTAATTATAGCAGATAAAATCCAAAAATTTTATTTTGATAAAAAATTGCATAACATAATTTCATACTTTTTAAAGTAAATAACATGCGTAGTCTCTAAACTTTGGATCAGATTTTATATTGATTTTTAAAATTTGAAAGTTCTAATTGAATCCTCAATTGTTTAAACGTTTAATATGGTCTTTTTGTTTACTAGACCATCTAAATGGACGGTAAATCCTATGTGGCTATAGATTACATAAAATTTTTTATGGTTTTAAACAAATTATAAAATAGAAAAGACAAAAGATTAAAAAAAAATTTTGATTAGACAAAAATAAAAAAAATAAAAAAAGTAAATTTTACTGTGAAAGAAAAAAGAGTCTTAATTTTTTTTTCTTTGCTCCAAATCGAAGGCTCTGGATTTTAAGGAAGGGAAAGTTTGGACAAGAAGAAAAAGAGAAGCGTAAATAGGATTGAAAGGGAATAAAATGAAAACATGTTTGGTCGTGGATAGTGATTATTAGGGATGGCATCGGGGCGGGGCGGGTCGATTTTTTACTTTCCCCACCTTTGACCCGATGCTTTAATGCTTTTATCTGATACCCGACCCGCCCCGTTCGGAGGTTGTAGCTAAAAAACCTGACCCCGACCCGCTTGAAGATTATTTACCCAAATTTTACCCTACTCGACCCTAATTTAATCTACTACCTATTCAAATTATTGCAAATGTAATAAATCATAATCTAATATATTACAAACATGAACAAATTTAACATAATCACTTATAAATTCAAACTTAATACATACATCTTTTTTTATTTAATAAAAATCTCATAAATTCTTACCATAAATAATAGAATTATAAAATACATAAAACATAGTAAATCAAAACTCACAAATTCTCACAATGGATGCTGAAATTATGAAATATATAAAACTTAGTAAACTAAAATTCAAATATCAAACAAGCATAAGTTAATAACTAAAATTTAAATATAGTACATAATACAAGATAAACATTAAAAGCTTAAACTACAACAATAAAAAGTTAAATTGTTTGAACATTCTTTCATCCAATATGGTGAAAATCTTTCAAGATCACAACAAATCATTTCATCATCACTAAGCTTCATATCATCATTCTCCTCTAACCACACTAGTCCTATAAAATAAAAAATAAGATGAATAAATAAATATAATAATATATTTAAAAATAATAATATAAAAAATGAATTAGTTAAAAAGATAATATTATTTACCAAACTAATTATCTTTTCCTCAATCTCACTATCATCAACATCCTCGTAAAAAGAATTTTCTTCTAATGAAATTGCCCTACAAATGAAATAATAAAATATTAACAAAAAATATATAACAACAAAATATAATAACTAACAATATGCTAAAATAAAAAATAAAATTACATAATATGCATTATTATACCTTCTTCTTTAGCCCATAACCAATTTTAACAACATATTAAAGCTTCTATAGTTTATGGATGAAGTTTATTACGTTGTGCACTCACCAACCTCCTTCCAGTACTAAAAGTAGACTCTGAAGCAACAGTAGAAACTGCTATGGCATATATATCTCTAACAATAAGTTGTAAGGTCAGAAATTGAGGTCCAGTTAGTTTCCACCAATTCAATATATCAAAATCTCATTTTCTTGGTATGACTTTTTCATCCAAGTAACGATCTAACTCTGATTTTACTTTTGATTTTTTTTTCCTTGAAACAAAATCATCATAGTCTCCCAAATTTTCCAATTCAGTAACACTAACACCATCTAAGAATGAAAAGCTTGAACTAAAAGGTCCTTATTCCTTTTTCAAAGCTAATTTCTCCTCATACGCCTTAAGTAAATCTCGACATATTTGCACAATCCTTTCAATTTCAAATTCAGCATTTTCTTCATAAATCTTTTCAAAGTAATACTCCAACAACTCTGTTTTGTATCTTGGATCTAAAATTGTAGCAACACCTATTATACCATGCACATCATTCCAATATTTTTCAAATTTACCTAACATGCTCACAGCCATACATGAAATAATTCTATCGATGTGCATAATTCATTCATTCAATGCCAATATGATTTTGCAAATATTAGGAAAAGTAAAGATTTGCAGTAGCATATTTTGTGCCAGAAAACCCTTCAGTGATATCATAAAACAATTTCAACTTCTCACAAA